GCTCACCTTAAAGACAATCATAAAGAGCAGGTCAGGGAAGATGAATCATTGCAATTGTTCTTTTTAGCTGTGGGTGCTAGTTTTTGTCCATTTGTCAAGGACTTTGTTGCTGCGTGTCTGCAATCAAAGGCTTCTTGTCACTACTTGCTTTAGTACTGAGCGCGAACATGTCAGCTGGGCTTTGCGTTACCCACCAGCCACCCCTTTCGTAATTCAGCCTTGAGCTGCCATTTGCCTCCCCACGCGCTGCAGCAGCATGCACGTGGCCAACTAAATTTCATTCTTACTGAAAATACCACTCTACACTCCACACCAAAGCAATACAAACATGTAAATACACACAAGCATTTGTAATTGCGTAAATTTTCAGTAGAGTTGATATAATGACAATACACAAGCACATCAGTAAGCAGAATGATGCAAGATATGGGTGAAAGGCAAACCAGATGGGGGTGGAAGGAAGGGAAATGGTCTGAACAAAAAAAAAAAGAAGCTGCCAACTTCAGCAGAACCTGACAGAATCTTTACTTGCGAATAGAAATGTTCCTCCTTTTACATGCAATGGGGCAGGAACATCTACTAGGAAGTCCAGTCCTGTTCCCCCTGCACTTCTGTTTCCATACAGACAAAGGGGATCTAAGGCTTGGCTTCACAGATGTTGATCTTAAGAAGGTTAAGCTTGTGTGAATGAAGTTCAAGGCAAACAAAAAATTCCAATATTTCCTCATTGGAAACAGATGTATAAAGGGAGAGATGCAACTGAACGTCTGTTACAGGCTCTTTGAGCAGGAATACAGGGCAGGAGAGGTAAATATATCATGGTGGCAGTATTATACTTTGTATTTTCCCATGAAGCCATACCACACTAAGGATGGTCAAAAAAAGGAAGAATTTTCAGTAAATAAGGCTTTGAAGCATGGATTGTGATTCCACACTCCATCTGACCTTCATCAAGTCACTTAGCCCCAGTCTTTCAGTATTTAATATTTGGTCTTGTGGGGCATGGGGAGAGCTGAAAGGAGGACTGTTATTAAGGATTAGGAGGTGGGACGTTACTCTGAGGTGAACACTCTACAGCTGACATCAGCAGCAGATGGCTTCAAGGCCATATGAAATGCAGTTCCACAAACCACATGAGCAGACAGCATATGAGAGCAATTCTGCCAACTTTAACTAGTCTGGGCCTGGAAGAGAGAGCATTTGTGCCATGCAGCTAGGGGCCTGGAGCTACGCTGTTCCCTCAAGGCAAAGATACTTACCAGTGTACATAAAGCAACTTGACAAAGGTACCTTGAAACAGGGTTGGCAAAGTATTGAAGTCAACCGGGACCTGCAGCCCTTGTGATGGTGAGCAGTAACAAAACAAGTCGCTTAATCTTTCTACTCTATTACCTTTGCTGTATGTACTTGTATGGTTGCCATCACCTTTCCTGGTCTTGAAGTTGTTCAGTTTTTGTACACGTGGGAGGGAGGCAAGTAGCACTGCGAACTTGCTTTATGGATAGGGATGCAATCCACTGTGTCTTGTCCAATGTGCACTGGAAATACATAGCCAAGCAAGTGGTTGAATGCAGGATCCTCTGGTCATAGATTAATGCTGAAGCAGATGGACTATTCATCCCTAAAGCCCTTGCTTCTATTGCATCTATTGAGGTGCTTGCATTCTGTTTGCGTTTGCAGACAGTTTTATTTTTCCTCTGGCCTGGAGATGAAAGTAGTTTTGAGCAGTAGGACTGGAATGTCTGCCTGTGGCAATCCTGAGCTAGGAAGAGTTGGTCTCTGAGGGCCAGTCTTGTTTGTATGGGAGCTTGATTAAAAAGGAGTGAGAAGTTCTGTTCAAAGGAATGTGAAGCCCTTGTCTGTGTTTAAAGTCGTTAGCAGAGCGTTCCTCCCTGTTGTGGTGCTGGGTGGCCAGAGTCCTGTTTGATTCACGCAGTAGAAGTAGTGCTTTTGTGCTTCAGGCTTAGAGTCTAACAGCAACCGTAGTAAGTGCTGGAGCTCCGTTAGCGGCAGAGAAGAGGTTTGAATGCAGCATCCGAATGCAAACTTCGTATTACTGTGAGAGGCAAAACTAAAATTCCATATCCAAGTGTTTCTAGGCAGGAAGGTTTAAAATTGTTTTCCTAAAACAATTCCTAAAGTCTAGGGTGTTTGAATTGATTCAGCAATTGTGTTGCCAGCTCAAATCCTGTTTTGGGTCTGAGCCCAGAAACGAAAGCATCTGTGAATTTCGGATAAAATTCTGGACTTCTGAAGAAGGTGCATGTGGCATTGTTTCTTTGGGCTTTTTTCAAGAAGATCCAAGTATTTGAATTTAGCTGTTTCTCATTCTTGTGACTACTAAGACTCAAAACCTGTTGACTGTTACAACAATGTAGAGAGACATGTCTGAACTCTGTCCTTTTGGGAACTCTAGTTCTGCTTCTTGCCTCAAGGATATAGTGAAAGGAGCCAGCCATGTGTGGAAAGCAACATGATTAAAATGTTATTTAATAAACAAACAGTTTATAGGTGGGCCTGCATGCTCTGCCGTGGCATCTTTATGTCATGCTAACATACGAGGCTTTCACTAAGAAGTGATTCTGTAGTGCATTCTTGTTTCTAAGCTAGCCTCCATGCATGGAGTTGTCTTCATTTGCCTGCACTTATGTGACAAGTCACTACTGACTCTCCCACAGGCAGCTTGTAGGGTCATGACCTTGCTCCTATTTAAAGTTTCAGTGGGGAAAGCCAACCACAGAGGAGCTATATGTAGTTTTTGGCAGAGTCTGAGGTCTAGTGTGTACAGGAATCTTTTTTTTCCATCCTGTTTTTACTTTTTACAGACTCAAATAGAAGTATAAATTTGTGTTTCCCTAAATGCTCTTGTGAAAAAGACCCACAAAGGTTTAGAAAGCAGCTGGCTGGTCCAAAGTAACATCTTAGGGGAAGGGGAGTTGTAGTCAGGTCCCTGTGGTACAGTGATTCATTGGGAAGATGCTGAGATACCGCTTCTGCAGAAGTCCAGTAAGAAGTCCTCTTCATCTTTCTCTGCTTATTGTGTTTGATACGGCAAACTTTGTATGTGTTAGCTCAGCTGTTTTGTCTAAATTTGCAGTCTGTAATTAATTCTAAGATAAGAGTCTGGTCTCTTCTTGTCTTTCATGGCTTTGGTGGGCAAGATCTCAGCTTACATTTAAGAATGGGATCTGTGCTTTACCTTGACCAAGCTCAATTGTTTGCCTGGAGAGTTACCCACACAGCACATGGTTGTTTTGAGACTTTCATTCCTTTGAAGAGTTACCTTGAACTCAGGCCATCTATCTGCCAGATCCTGAACCCCTGTTTCTGATGTGTGCTGAGGGTTGTGAAAAGCCTCTTTCTTGTTATCCTATCTCCTGTAAGATATTTGCTTGTTGAAAGGGCACGGCAATAGGTCTGTCAGGTAAGGTACAAGAATTAGACACAGTGACCTCTGCTTTCACCATGAGGAGGAGTATGTTGGTAAAGAATTAGGTTGTGATAGGAGTTTCACAGATGAATTTCTTGCTCTGACAGTTCTGTATGCAAAGGATGAAGTATGTCCTTCTTGCAGTAGAGTGTGGTGGAGCACTGATCTATTCAGATGCCTGCACCTTAGTCTTGAGCTAGGGACCTGTTCTGCTTCATATATCTTAATGAATATGAGTCATTCAGTAAATTCAAAATGAGAGACTGTCTGAGAGGATGCTATGAGGAAAGAAGCAGAATTTTGATACATGTGGGGAAAAAAACTTTTGTTTCTTAAGCTGTAGGCCTTAGCCTAGGTGGCCATTGTCTCTTTTCTTTACTGAAAGGCTGCCTCAGTTTCCCAGTTCAGTGAATTGCTTCTCAGAGAGCCACAAAATCCTTCCCAACATTTTACCCCTTTTGCTTTGCAAATCAGTGTGTGACCCATGAGTGTGTCTAGGCCAGGAAACAATTAATAGCAAGAAAAAGTACTTCCTTGGCTTTCAGGCAGCTCCCAGCTTGCTCTTTTCCCCAGATTAGAGAGGATTTAGGAGGTGCACATTCTATGTACACTAAATCAGTTCTGCAGAAACCCCCGCATACCATCATCCTGCTCTTATCTCTGAATCTCGTGGACAGGCAATCTCAGCTGCTCATTGCGGGCTGGCAGCTTTAGCTTGCCAGTAGATACTGAAAGCCATATAAGTGTGGAAATGACAGTGACACAACAGCTAAGATGGTATCTCTGTAGCAAAGCCAAAGGCAGTTCCCATGGTGATGGAGAAGCTCCAGGCTGCTAGTGATGCAGCTGCTGTATCGGACAGGATCAGTAGCCTTTTTATACAGAGGCTGCTCCAATAAAGCTTTTATGTGTTTATGTGCCCCTCATTAGGTTTTATCCAGCTCTGGAACGTAAAATGAGGGGTGAGGGGAAGATTTAAACTGGCTGAAGTGGGTAAAAAGAAAACAGGAAAAGAAGGGTGAAAATGTTGTAAGTCTTGGAGTATCCACAAATGACACATGTATGACAGCTTGAGTGCATTTGATATTCTGGTCAGTACTTTCCTGAGATATTGTAGGCCAACATTAATAGCTCCTAAAGTTCCTATTTCAAGTGGGAGAGTCAGATTCATATCCCCAAGTCTTAACTCCTCTTCAAAACGTTCCTTCTGAATTGGATACAAAATCAGAATGGATCTCTTTTTCTATATTGAGACTAGAAATTCCCTGGGACTTTGGGAAAGTGGATGATCTTGCGACTTCTGCATCTCAAGCACTAAAATGTCTTACAATTCACTTGGTCCCCCTTGGATAGCAGGTGCAACATTTCCAGGTTCCCACACTGGAAATGCACGTTTTGCACTTCTGCTTTGATCTTCTACCAACCTGTGCTTTGTGGATGCTGCAGCACATAAGTAGTAATTGTGCGTAAAACTGCTCAATTAAAATAATCATTTGATCATTTTGACCCAGACTTTTGGTGGTTTTAAACATTGGTTGCTCTCATCTGAACTAGATGCTAAGAGAGATTTGTGTTCTGTCTTTCAGGTGGTGCGGGGGACCGGGAAAAGATGCCTGTCAATCATGAGGCTTTCCTGCTCATGGCTAATTCCCAGAATGAAATGGAGGATTGGGTGAAAGCCATCCGACGGGTTATATGGGCTCCATTTGGTGGAGGTATTGCAAATAGCTCACATGCACATAAATTAAAACATTTGCCTCAAGGTAAAACATATTCTTGTGATACTAGGATATGTGTAACACTGTAAAATCACTGAGATGCCTAGATAAGCTGATAAGCTCTTGATTGTCTGAAGTGTTTTGCAGCAAGGGGATTGGATTGATTTTTTTTTTTTTTTTTTTTTGCCAAGGGATGGAGGGGAGGGCAGGGCACATCCAGACTGTATATCTGACTCTCAGTCAGAAATGGATGGTGATAATAAACATATCACTATTGTCAGTATTCATTTTTTTACAGCTAATTATGAACTATTCTGTGGACTTTTCTTATTCTTACGGACATAAAGGAGTGTGTCCATTTATCTCAATTTTCTACCACAAGGGCAGATGCCCATCTTTAACTTCCGTACAGCCAGAGGCAGAAAACTTTTCTACCAGCTAATGTAGGGCCAAGTTGAGAAGAAAAAACTTCCACTGGCTTCAACGGGAGTGTAGCCTGAGGAAGAACAAACAGGGTCAGGCTGAGGGAACACCTGTAAGATAATACAGCTGTTGACAATTCCTGTAGTTAAAATGAACAAAAATTGCAAACTCTCAGTGTTGATATTACACCACAATCTTCAAATTCTCAAGTCAGTAGATTAGATGGAAGGTGGTTTTGTGGTTTAGCATAGAAAAAGGGCTCACAGATGTTTTCTTCTGAGTTCACTGTTGGTGACAGCAGCTACTGGCTTGGTACTGGACACTCTACGCTTTGAAGTGACTTGTGTGCTACTAATGGGGTTCATGTAAATAGTGGTATCATACGCAGATAGTGATATTCAACCTCTTTTGAGAGGTACAGATAAAAAAGTGCCAGATAAGGGTTAGGTAATACAATTACTTTTGCTGAAATGAAGTTACTAGTTTTCCTGGATCTAGAGGAAAAAAAAACTGACCTTGATGCAATTGAGGGAGGCTCAAATACTGTAAGGTCACTAAGAAGATTCAGTGTTTGTTAGTAACTTTTATCTTGGGGTTGTTGGGTTTTTGTTTGTTTTTTTTTCTTTTAAGTGACTTACAATTTCGAGTCTCTGTGTAGCAGCATTTGGTTTGCTGGAGGAGATAAAATCTCTACTGATGATGTAATTTTTTCCTATGTCCTTTTTTCCCTTAGCACAAAGGGTGTACGTGCAAAAGGCAGCTTGTACCTGATTCTGCGAGGTTGCATGTGATGCTGTTGTGCAGTGAGCAGAACAAGCCCTTTTCACTAGTAGAAACTGATCTACCATAATTTCTCCTCAAACATGAGTATGTGCTTGTTTTGCTTTCCTTCTGAAGTCCAGTTAACAGTGAAGGGTCTTTCAGACTCTGAGGTCAGTGCAGGTCCCTGCAGTTCCTCTATCAGAAGTCTCAGAATCTGAGAGATGGTATTTCTGTGGCCATTTGTAGTGGACCTTATAGTGTGTATTTTACAGCTTTGCTATGTGCATCAAATAAATACTGTGAGGAAAAAGGAGACATTCAGTCATGACAAATGGTACATGTTCCAGCAACAGCCTCCTTCTTTAGGGCACGACGTTGTCAGCAATGCTGGTATCAGTACAAATTTGGCCTCTTTTTTGTTAGTGTTCATGTTTTGTCAGTCTCTTGGAATAGTTCCAGAGCAAGCATCTTTTTTTAAATATTAAAAATCTTAAAATTTTGAAAACAAAAATATGGGGATGGCACAAAGGTAGGGATGGATTTCTTTGTTTCTTTATGGGGACAGTATTTCCTAATTAATCTGCTCCTATTCTATACTTCTAAACTTCTCTACAAAGCTATTGGATAACATTTTGGTTTTGCTTTAAATGAGGCAGATACTCTTACATTTGATTCCAGGAACTAGGGCTTTATGAGATATCAGAAAACATAGAACAAAATCATGAGAATAAGGGAGCAGGGCAGTGCGGGGGGGAATACAGTAGTGTGTGAGGGGGAATACAGCAGCTGCTGTTTTCACATACTGCAGATTGATCTGGTTCCATCAATGTCAGTGTAAAGGTTGCTTCGGCTGCCGGTGAGAGCTGGGTTAAGCCATGTAGAAGAGAAGCACTGCTGTTGGCAGAGTTGGAAGGAATTGCAATTGTGTTTTGATGTTTTTCCTCTATCTGTGGATAAAAACTAACCAAGAACATAGGTACATCCTGGGCGATCAGCCTGGCCTGAGCTCTCTGCCCTGATAATCAAATGCACCAGTCTAAAGCTAGCTTGGCTATGTCTGCTTTGTAGTCCAAGCTGCAGGAACAAATTCTTATGCTATGGTTTCATTGCTTCTCTGACTGAAGTGCTAGCTGCTGTCAGGAGTGGTCTTTTCACACTTTGCAACCATGTGTTCCCATCACAATTCATTTTGCTAATACGAGTGGTTATGCAGCTGTGCAGTAGGAAATGACCTGGCAGAAAAAAAGAGGGGAGGATTATTTTGTAGGTGGATTGGCTCCCTGGCCCTGCTAACCATGCAGCTGCAGGACTAGTAGTGCCAGCACAGTAAGGACAGTGGCGAGAGATGATGGGGGAAGGAGAGATGATGGGATGGAAGAAGGTGTGCTTGTTCATTCTGACTGCAACCCACACATAAATTGGCTTAAAGAAACCATGGAGCTGCATCCTCGATCTCTTTGCACTTCACAAAGTATTTATAGGAATGTCAGTAACTAGGAAATAGTTAAGATGTTCAAACTGTTGTTTCCAAATGGTTTTAGCCAGTTTGGGGAAATGATCAAACCTACTCCCCCCTGCATCAGAATCGGAGCAGGGCAATTTCTCTGCAAGTGAAATCCCAGCTTAGCTCAAATGTAGGAGGACAGTAAACATAGCTGTCTCTGTGTTTTAATTGAATAATTTGAACTCTGCTTTGCTACCACCACTAATTTGAGAGCCAAGTCTTATCTATCGACGCTTTTTAATATACAAAGCTAGAGGATGGGGGGAGGAATTAAAAAGCAGGCTTCATTATTAATATGTAAATATCCAGCCCTGGAAAAGGTTGATATGGTGGAAAAATGAATTATGCCAAGATAAAAGGAGAGGCTTACCCACACTTTAATCTTTGTTGATGTATTGAAGAAACATAAATCAAAAAGGTTGAGGATATCTCCTTACGTGTTGATGCGGGCACATGAACTATGTTTGAAGGTGAACAGCAAAGGCTTCTTAAAATAAAACAGAAAACTCCCCAAAGCTGCTGAGGATCCCAAATTATTAATAGGAGACACATTCAGGCTTAAAAGCTATATGGAATGTGTGCTTTGAAATACACTTCAAATGTGGCCTTAAAATAAAATCTTAGAGTTCCTTTTGAAGAAGAGCTGTCCTGTTTGTGGGGAAAATAATTTCTAACAAGTTTCCCTGAGTTTCAGGCTCCTGAATTCTTGAGTCTAGTCTATCACATTTAGAGCAGAAGATTTTGTAAACTGAGTTTTGAGAGTATTCTCTATGTTTTCATTATGTCTTTAAGAATAAAATTTGTCACAGTGGCTTGATAAAAGTGAGTTTTGGAGCACATTCTGACAGAGGGTGATTAAAAATGTTTCCTATGATCCTTCTTACCTCCATGAAGAACAAATTTTTCTCTGAGTTTACATCACTAAAAGTTTATCTGGAGAGTCCCTCTGTGACCTACAGTCATGCTGTTCTGCAGCTGCTCTTTAATATGGAGTGCTTGTAGCAGTGGCTTCTAGCGTAGCACTAAATGGAAAGGGTTCATGGCCATAGGCTTGGATGAGAGCGAGCCTGCCAGTGTCCTCTGAAGGCAGATGCATTGAAAGTGTTTGGTGTAGTGGAGGGGAGAGGAGGTCATTCCACACTCTGTACATGTGCAGTGGGGCTGTATCTCTAGAAGAAACACAGCTACTTTAAGGAAATCCCTTTCCATCTGCTCACCTCTTGGTTAGCATGCCTTCCTCATTTTTGTCTTGCATCAGATGTAAAACATGATGTGTTTAGGACTGAGTTTTGGGCCATGAGGTGCAAAAGCTGAGGTTTTTGCTGCCTGAGTTGAAAGCCAAGTGGCACAACTCTTACAGCTCAGCACACGACCAGCACTGCATGGGGACAGAATCATCCTGTGTTAATCTTCTGTTTGTGTTTGTTTTCTTTTGTTTACATATTCTTTCTTTCTTTCTTTCCATGAGTAGTTCCTTGCTCCTCTGCCAGAAATGCATGTCACAGCCCCTTTCTTTTTCTATTACTTTATCCTAATTTCTCCTTCTCCTTATCCCAAGCTTTCATCAGCTCCTTGTGATGGATGGGAGGTGAAGCAGTTGGAAAGGATGTGCTTCCCTTAGGTAGACACAGAGAGCTTTACCCTCTAACAAAGTAATTATGCTGCAAGAGCTCCACAAGTGGTTTCTCCGTTCAGGAGGAATAGTCACTTTTTAACTGGTGGGCTCTGAAGATGCATCCACTGTGGAAGCCACTCTACTAACATTAATTCCAGTCCGCTTTTCCATATAGGTAAACCATGATGTGTGGATTCTTTCTTCTTCTGTCAGCAAAACAGTGCAGATAATGGTTTTGCTGGCAATCAGGGCCCTGTACAGACCATGTCTTATATTAGGGGAGAGCTGCAAACTAGGGGACAAGTCTCTGAGGTATAATTTAATACCTGGCTCAATGTCCTTATGAGTAGTGGAAGAATAGCCCTACATAGGCCTAAATAGGGATCCTGTTTGAGATGAGTAAATGTCTTTCAGATAACATCTGCATGAGAGCAAAACATGACTTTTATTGGTATTAGATGCATGTCCACCAGGATGCCAGACTGTTTAGGAGCTATGATATGATGTTAAGTCTTGGGAGCCTGGGGTTTAATTTCTCCAGTTGTAAGACAGGGATTTTCCAGTAAGAGCATAGAATTGTATCAGTGGATTTAAGATGCTAAGATATCACAGTAATGAAGAAGAGGGAGGTGGCTTCTGTTATCCGCCCAGTGTGAAGACAGAGAGGAGGTTTCTGCTCCCTGGCTTGCTATA